TTTTGGTACAGAGCCTGGGCTAGCAAACATCAGGAACGAGGGACTGCATGGGGACCTGTGATCAAGTCCTGCAGGAGAGGGAGGAGGGACTGGACCGTGGCGGCCTCTAAAGGGACCCTGTGGGAGGTGGACCATGACAAGCGTTCCAGGGGCGTGGCCAGCGGTCAGGGCGTGGTTGGGGCGTGCTAATGGGGCGGGGCTAGCGTTGGGGCGTGACCAGGGGGCGTGGCCTGCAGCCGTATCCAGTGGACAGCTCCCAGGCAGGAGAGAGCTGGGAAAGCGCTCGGGGTCACTCGGGGTATGTGTGACCACCAGCCTTGGCTGCTTTATAATTAAGGATGTGACAAAACCCCCAGCGAGTGGCAGGATAAGATGCACATCAGGGTGCGGACCTCCCACCCTGCTGGGGGCTCCACTGGCGGCTTGGGGGCTCCACCGCTGCGGCTTGGGGGGCTCCTGGGCCTCACTGCTGTGCATTGGGATTCTTGGAGCCCAGAACCCCGGGAGTGGTTTACACGGATGTCTCATGCTGTGAAAGTGTAGGAAACAACGTGATGGGGGGTGGGGGGAACATTTACCTCAGGAAATGAAAATGACACCCGGGGCCTCGAACCTGGTGCCTAGTTCAGGGCCAGTGAGTGGGGCAGAGAGGGGAGAGCTGACTCGGGGAGACGGTGCAGGAATGACTGGCTTGGCGGGATGGGCGTCTCTCTAGGGCTTGCACGGTAACCAGGGCCCCACCAGGGCAAATGAGACCACAGACATGTGCAGTCCCCCCTCCCCCAGTTTAGGGGCTGGCAGTTGGAGATTGCGGTGTCTCCTCTCTGTGTCCCATGGAGGCCAGCAGAGAACGCCTGCCTCTCACCGACTCCCGGGCGGACAGTTTTGGACCTCCTTGACCCCGGGGGTGCACCGCTGACATCTCCACCTTCCCCATCACGGGGTGCTCTCCCGGTGTGCATGTTAGCAGTCACGCTTCCCCTTTTCCTAAGAACCTGGCCATGCACCCCACCCCACCCCGGCCATGCATCCCACCCCACCCTGGCCATGCACCCCACCCCACCCTGGCCATGTTCTCAGGTCCCAGGGACTGGCGTGGCAGTTAGGAAAGCCGGACGGTGACATGACTGAGTCCACACCACCAAGGGCCTTGGGGATTCTGGGAGAAGCAAGGCGAAGCGTGTGGGAAGGATTCTGCACTTCCCCACACCTTGAAATAGTATGAGATAATGTGAAATAACTCATTTCTGTGGTTGCGAGCCACTGGATTTGTGGCAATGAGTCACGGCGGGCCTAGCTCATTAGCACAGCAGCCCAGTGTTGGGCACAAGCAGATGGTGGTTGCCCTGGGAGATCCTCTGAGGGGACTTCCTCTTCCAAGGGCAACTTATGAGGAAGCAGTGTCTTCTTCCACAGCCCCGTCTCCAGGGGTTCTGTTCCGAAGGCCGCTGGATGCTTCCCCAACGGGAGGCATGACAAGGAAGGCGGGCAGGGGAGAGCAGGTCGCCATGTCCTCACGTCCTGCCCTTACAGCCTAGCGGAGACACAGGCCCGTCTTCAGCAGGTGGGAGGAGCCGCGTGTGCCCGGGTCTGGGCTTCTGGCTTTTATCCGTAAGCTGCCACCCAGAGAGCTCCTCACACAGTTCCTGTAGATCTTACAGGTAAAGACAAGTGAGGCCTGAGGAGGGGTGTAACTCACCTGGGGCCACACATGCTGATGGCAGAGGCGGGGTTTGGACGTGGCTGGTAACAGAATCCGAGATGCCCGCTGTCTGTTGTAGCGAACGGGCAGCGGGCGGGCAGCGGGCGGGCAGCGGGCGGGCAGCGGGCTCCCACTCAGTCCTGGACACTGGATGATTTACAGGCGAGAAGTTTCTTACAGCTCTGCAAGCTGGGACGTTCATGACTGAGTGGTCCTACTTGGTGAAGAAATTCTTGTTGGACTCCATGATGGAAGAGCCAGAGCGACGTGGTGGGGCAGTGGAGGCGCAGGGAGGAAGGGAGAGAGAGGAAGAGCCATCCCATGATAAAGCTCTGACCCACTCGTGGTAGTCAAGCTCTCATGACCTACATTCCGCAGAAGCTGCCACTGTCAGCACCTCTGCATCAAAGTGGGCTTGCGTTTGCAAAGCGCACACCCGAGTGACACATCGAAAACCACATGGTCGTGATAAAACTTACTATAAAAGGATACCCAGCACACAGCTTCCAGCTGATAGAATACAGCCTGGACTGCATGCGCCGTGCAGGTCTAACGTTGCGGTGACTCGCTGTGTCCTGCAGAAATCCAATTCCTCTTTAGACGCGGTTGCTGCCAACAGTGGTGTCTCCATATCACACCGGCCGTAAGAACTTATTTCCACCGATGCACGCAAGTCCAGCATGATTTCGGTTGGTGTTGGTGTTTATGAGTTAGGCTGAGAAAGCTGCGTGTTGGACTTGACTGATTAAAATATAGGAAAATAGTGGTGAGCTGGTGAATTTTATAAATCTGTGACTGTTTTAGGGTCACTGATTTTGTTGTGCACATTGCCATATTCACCCCTCCGTGAGCTGGTAGGAACCACGTTGGCACTTCACCGGGACGACTCCTCCATACACACACAGGGAGTGAAGCATGGCATCTCCACTAAGCCAGAGCTCTAGGAATCAAGAGGTTTGAAGGACTGAGGCTGTCCCCAGCCCGTGGGAAGAAACTTGAAAACTGTCACTGCCTCCGTCTTTGCCCTAGCTCTGCTCTGAGCACAGCTGTTCTGTCTTCAGTCCTGGTATTGGCCCCCTCCCCTCTGGGTCTCCAGATGTATGTAAAGTTAAGGGGCTGAGAGATCAGAGGTTGAGAAGTGTTCTCTGCCAAATCCCTCAGTCAGAAAATCATCTAAAATTCATCATTCTCACGCACCAAGAGCGCCCGCTCCTCTCATCCCCTTCCTCCTGTCTCTCTCCTTTCCCCTCCCTCCATTCCTGTGTATGTTCTGTCTCCATCTATGGGTCTCTCTCTTTCTCCCTCCCTCCCTCCCCCAAGCCTCTCTCCACAAGCAGAGAGCTGGATGGGAAGCAGAACAGCAGGGACATGAACCAGTGCCCATATGGGATTCTGGTACTTGAAGGGAAAGGACTCGTCAGGTGAGCCATCACACCACTCCATGGGAGGGATTCTTTATGTATTCTTTTTTCATATGAGACCCCAGGAGATGAAGTGGGACAGACACGTCCCAGGACCCTGGGTGCCCAGCACCACCTCTTAGGGAACCAGGAGCTGAGCCCCTGAGTACCCCACCGCCCCCGGGGACCTGTGGCCTCATACAAGCACACTTCCTGTGCAGTCTCATCCCGGGTTTCTCGGAGTTACAGACAGGCGGAGAGCATGTCTCAAGCTTCAGACACGTCTGACCAGAGTTGCTCAACAAGAGACAGAAATGGAGTTGGGCTACTTGAGTGACAGGAACCGGGGAGGTCCTCCCACTTGCCAGAAGGATCCCTGGGTCAGAGCCATTGCCGCTGGGCTGGAACACCTGCCCCCCACCCCCAGGGACCCAAGGACCCAGAGCTTCCTTCTTCTTCAAGTTTATGGCGGTCAGAACTTTGGGGCTGATTTGTGATGATCAGTCGGACGACTGAGGGAAAACTCCACTCTGCCATTCACAACTTTCCCTTTTCACACCAAATATGTGGGTTTTTCACGATGAAAAAGGTCCATTCTTTGCAGGCAACCGAATGATGGTCTGCTATGGATGCTACGGCTTTTGGGATTCAGCCCCCCAACATCGATGCTAGAATTGAGTCCCCCTGGTGAGCTCTTGAAGAGGGTTGGAATGTTATCTTACGGCGAAGTTAAGTGAGCAAAGCCATGGGACAGCGGTCAGGAGTCTGGAAGGACATCAGTGGAAGCTGTGATTCAGGTGCTGGTTGCTTTCTAAGAAGGGGAAGGGACCAGAGGATATACTGACAGCCACACAAGTTCAAGTTACTCTCCCCTCTCACCACGTGACAGCCTGCACAGCTTCAAGACTCTGCTGGCAAGAAAGCCACACAGCAGGTGGCCACCAGTCCGAACTTCTAGAACCTCGTGACGACATAAATCTGTTCTTTTATTACCTCAGCCTCAGGCACTTAGTGCCAATTTGACTGATACGGTGTCTGACAGTGTAGTCTACTTTTAAAAAAACGGATTTCTTTTATTTGAAAGACAGAGACATTGAGAGGGGATTTTCCACCGTCTGGTTCATTTCCCCAAGTGGCTGCAGCAGCCAGAGCTGGACTGGGCGGAAGCCAGGAGCTCCCGTGTAGGTGGCAGGGCCACAAGTCCTTGTGCTGTGATCTGCTGCCTTTGCAGGTATGTCAGCAGGGAATGGCCTGGAAACGAGCAGCTGGGGCTCCGCGCAGGCATCCCACGGCTCCACAGCGCTGGCCCCCGCCCCTGAATGCTGGATGCTCAGGTTCTGTCAGAGGGGTTGATGTTCCATGGCGGCACTTTCACGGTGGGACTTTAATACCCCTGGGGCACAAGGGGACTGCTGTTTACACTTGTTCTTGTGCCACATGTTCCTTTATTCCCTCGTGAGTCTATCTGAGACCTGAAGGTCCCCAGGGAGTTGCACGGAATATAGCAGCTTCCCCAGTCCCTTCATCATGTACAACGTGTGTCCATTCTGGCTACATGTGTAGGTATCTTTGGAATTGGTGATTTGGTTGCAAGTTACAGAAGCCACTCAAGCCCAACCTCGAGTTAAAACTGCTCCCTGGAACCACACGGTGAGGCTAGCTGCAGAGAGAACACCCCGGCCTTGGGGGAACCAAATGTCATGAAGTGGCTTCTATCTGCACCTTGCAGTCTAAGCTCTCATCCTCTACATCTCCTTATTCAGCTCACACACTCTGTTCTCTCTCTTCCTAACAAATTGTGGAAACCAGGGCCATCGGTGGGGGGGGGGGGGGGGGGGGGGGGGAGGGGTGAGCTGGAAAGTTACTGGATACACAATCGCAAGAGTTCCAGAAGGAAATTGTTCAAAGCACCATTTATTGAAGTCTGTGGGTGGGTGGCAAAGATCAGGCAGTGCCCCCTAGAGGCTTGGAGGTCAGTGGGCAGCCTTAACTGGCTACCTGTTGGGGGCTGCATAGAAAGGCCCCGTTGAGTCTGTCTGCCCTTGATCGGGCATGAAATCAGTGTGTAAACTTTTCTGTTGACACTGGACACTCCTAGGCTGTCCCTCTACTCCCTTCCTTCTGCCAGTTCTCTCTCCTTTTCTCTTTCTTATTTATAACGTAATGGTGATGGCTGTGGGTGTTAATTGTGATGATCCTGTTAAGATTTGACGCTAGAAACCTTAAGGAAAATGGTGTCTTTGATTAAGAAAAGAGACTTAGACAGTAAGAGCGCATAGAACAATAGGTAAATTTCTCTGCAATGTAAAATAAATAAATAAATAGACAGTAGAAACTTAGATGGCGGTGGGTGGGGGTGGGGAGAAGGGCAGGCTTTAAGGTGTCTTGAGTCCAACCAGAATGAGACTTGCACATTTCCGGCCAACTCCTCTGTATTTCCACACTGCTGAACTTTTGTAAACTGGGCTCTACATTGAAAAGCCTTGTGAAAGAACCTGCTAAGGAACTTGAGGGAAACGCCTGCGTTCGTGCTGGGCTCATCAACTCCACTCAGAACACAGATCTTGTGGAGAGGAGAGATGACTTCCCAAGATGTATTCTACAAGGGGTTTAGGCAGTCTTCTGCTTAGCTTACGGGACTAAGGAGCCACAGCTGGAATCTTGAAAGCTTTGTGTTTGTGCCCGGTCACCCCGACCCTCTTCTGCTTCTTGTCTGAATGGAAGCCTTACCTTTCATAGTTTCCCCTAACACTGTGTTCTCCTTAGAGGGACCATGTAGTTGGAGGTCGTTAGAGCAATGACTGTCACTCAGGACTCTTTTGGGTTATTTAGATCACACCTCTTCCCACCTGCTCAAGTGCAGCAATGACAAAAGGCGCCAGTGGTAGCTTTAAAGTCTATTTCTTCTTCCCAAATCCAGGGCACAAAGAAATTTCTGTGTGGTGAGTGGGTAATACGAAGACGGGCAAGGCATGTGTGTGGTTCAGTAGCTCCAGCTGGAATGAAGCAGGAAAGGGGAGTTCCCGTGTTGTCTTGCTCACTTCTCACACGGCCTGTAACTCAGCCCCTGCAGGAGCCGAGGTCGAGCTGGTTCCTGTGTCACTAGTCTGGGCCGAGTCCTCACTCAGGGCCCTCTCCAGACTGGCAGGCAGGGAGCGCAGGAGTCTCTCTCGGAAGTCCTGGCCCATGAAGACGTAGAGCATGGGGTTGAGGCAGCTGTTGAAGAAGGCCAGGTAGCTTGTCACATCCAATGCAATTCTAAGTTCTTGGCCCATTCCGAGCAAGAGCTCCTTGATTCTGACTGTGGCTATGAGGGCTGCGATCTGATAGGGGGACCAGCAGAGAACAAAGGAAGCCACAACAAAGGAGAGTACCCTCAAAGGTCGGCTGGATTTCATCATGCCCTGTCTGCGGATCTTTCTGGCGATGAGCCCATAGCAGATGGCCACAATGGACATGGGTGTGCTGAAACCGATGATGAAACGGATGATCCCTCTGACAAGCAACATGGTAGCAGCTACCTTCCTCTTCTCTGTGGGGTCGCTTGTCCAGGGAGACCAGTCAAAACCACAGGCTGTTTTGCCTATCGGAAGAGTCGTCGTCGTCACACGAATGATAACTGGCAAGGTGAGGAGCAGAGCGCAAATCCAGGGTCCAAAGATCACCTTCTTGGCCAGACTGACATTGCGATGGTTCTGGGCCCAGACTGGGAACAGGACACAGACACAGCGGTCGAGAGCAATGAGGGCGATCAAGAAGACGCTCCCAAACAGGTTGACGTCCACTATCGTGAAAATGAGCTTGCACAGGAACCAGCCAAATGCCCAGTGTCCCCCCATGGCCCTGGTGACAATGATGAACGGCAGAGTGGAGGTGAAGGAGAAATCGGCCAGGGCCAGGTTCAGGTAAGAGATGGTAGTGACCGTGTGTGTCATGCGGAAGCCGGTCACCCAGATCACAAGCCCGTTGCCCAGCACACCCAGGACGAAGGTGACGCCAAGGATCAAATACGAGAAGATGTTCAGGACGACATAGCCAGCAGGTATGACCTGAACTGCTGCAGACTGATTCATGGGAAGAGAGGAATTGGCGTCCATCTTGTCCACACCTGGAATAGGTCAGCAATAGTCATTTCTCAGCTGTGAAGCTGCAGGCAGCTCCTCCATGTCCCCATTCTTTTGCACCCAGCAGCTTTCCCATTCTCAACTCCTTCATCTTCCCAGCTCTTTCCATCCAAGACATCCTTGGCACCATGCCCGGTGCTTACTCACAGATGTAAGTCAGCCAGCTGCCACCACATCTGTTGGGCAAAATTTTACAACATATTCCTACACTTTTCAACAGGCAAGCCACCTACTAGGCCACTTGCGTGACTGATGCAAGATTCCTGGGACTGGCACTGTTGCCCGCAGCTGAAGTCGCTGCTTGGGATGCTACCAGCATTCCATATGAGCGCCAGCCTGAATCGTTGAGCATCCTTGATGATGAATCCAGGAAAACAGCAGAAAATGGCTCATGTGAAAGACCCAGTTGGAGTTGCAGGCTCTTGGCTCTGGCCTGACCCAGCCCTGATCATTGTGCTCATTTGGGGAGTGAGTCAGTCAGTGGAATTTAAATCTCTCTCCCTCTGTGTGTAATTCTGCCTTTCAAATAAATAAGATAAAACTTAAAAATAAATACAAGTTTCTTGCCCCTAAGTGAAAAAATATTGGGCCAAAAATGTGGGGGAAACAGGTATGCAAACAGAGATCAATTGTATACAAATGTTGACAAGAGTCAGAGGCAGACACGGCCCAGATGTTCCATCACAGAGAAACCGATCTGCAAAGTATGGTCTCTCCATCCCTTGAAATTTTACAAGGAACACAGCAGCGATACATAGTGTGTGCATAGATGAACTATGCACGTTATGCAAAACAGAAAAGGGCTACACACATTTCATTTGTATGAAATACCCCAAACAGGCAAATGCCTGCAGGACAGAAGCAGACTGGTGGTTATCAAGGGTCTGGGGAAAGGAAGAACAGGGATGCCCTGGGGAATGGCTGTGAGATCAACGTTCTGGGACCACGCAGTGGTGACAGCTACAAAACACGACAAATGTGTCTACCACCACCAAGTCATACATTAAAATGGTTAAAGTGGAATGGGATGCGGCACAGACTGGACTGGTCTGCTGTACATACCGGCAAGCACGGGAACCAGGGCAGAGGGCAGGCCTGGTGGGGGTTATAGTGGGTTACTCCGGCTAGGCTGCAGTTCCCACTGGTTCGCATGAGGGCGGAGTGTGGGGTAGGTAGGACTGGGCTGGGCTCCAACACCCATTGGTTTGTGTAGAAGACGGGGCTGAAGGGAGAACTGACCCAGCAATTGCAACTGCCAGCAAATGCATAGGCTGATTGGGGCAACAGTCTGTGCCTGACCCTGCACTGGTAAGCACACACAAGAATCTGGTCTGGGATCACCTCAGACAAAGTTTCTTTGGGGATCTCCCAACTAAACTGCTGGACTCAGAACTCCAACCGTGAATAGAATTGCAGGTTCTGTGGTCTGACTATGGAGTGCATGTGTCAAAGCTGAGCCCCCTCAGTGGCTCAGATGGAGCAGTGGACAGCATAGCCAGGTGCACATGGAGGACATGGCACTCCATTGAAGCCTGCAGAGGACTCTTGACATCATGACAGACAAGAGAACAAATTGATCAACTGCCCCAGCCAAGTGTTGGCAGTGAAAATCTGGGCAGATGGACACTCTGAGGTGGACTATGTCAGCCAGTGGATTCTGAAGAGTTTTCATTGTGCTTGGAATGGTGGGACTGGCAGCAATTCAGAACAGTTGAACTGTCGAAGCCACTTGAGCAGGACCCTCCGAGCATGCCCCACATCGGGGACCCTGGGATGGGTGGGAGGGTGGATGTGGCTTCTCCTTTTGTCTTCCCCATTTCCCCAGATACAGGAAGGAAAAACGAGAATGTGGAAACAATGGTCTTACCCACTTTCCTGTAGCCCTTGACCCTTCGCACCCTAAGTGTGTAAAGATCATCAAGAAATAAAAAAGACTTTTCCCCCAAAATAGTAAAGTTGAGGCTAAAACATTTTTTACATGGTTAAAGCGGCCAACTTTGTGTTACATGTATTTTACCAGAATTTCCATTTAAAAATGGTGGGTGGGCACAAGAAAAATGGAGAGAGGGAGCTTCGGCGACCGGGAGCTTGACAGGCACTCACGGAGATGCAGAACTATCTACAGAACGTGCACGCACGCTCACGCTCCGCCCCTCCTTCACATGGGTCATGGGGCCTCCTTCCCACTTCTGTTCTGACAGGCAAAGCAGAGCCAGGTCAGACGCATCCGTGCACGGCGACCCTGCATCTCAGGGTCATGGGGATGTGATCTGTTTTAGAGGAAGTCAGCACAGGAGACCCCGTTCCACGCTTGGACCTGGGACGGTCCTGTCCAGGTGAGTGGGATGGGGGATGGCATTGTCTGGGGCGAAGGTGAGCGTGACAGAAACATCTGCTGAAGTACACATTGGGTATGAGACTTCCTCAGATCTGATAAGCAAAGTCCATGCCCAGTCCTTGCCAAGAGTTTTTTTTTTTTTTTTTTCTAAATTTGCAGCCAGCTTCCTGAAAAGTCTTGGGCCCGGCGCAATAGGGTAACAGCTAAAGACCTCACCTTGAACTTGCCAGGAAGCCAATACGGGTGCCAGTTCTAATCCCGGTGGCCCTGCTTCCCATCCAGCTCCCTGCCTGTGGCCTGGGAAAGCAGTTGAGGACGGCCCAAAGCCTTGGGACCCTGTACCTGTGCGGGAGACCCAGATTAAGGTCCTGGCTCCTGGCTTCAGATTGACTCAGTTTCAGCTGTTGTAGCTGCTTAGGGAGTGAACCATCTGATTGAAGATTTTCCTCTCTGTCTCTCCTCTCCCCTGTATATTTGCCTTTCCAATAAAAGCAAATAAATCTTTGAAAAGAAAAAAAAGTCTCTTGTGAGGAAGCAATCAATAGACACGTTATAGCCCAAGTCAGTGGTTGGTACATAGTATGTACTGAATATTGCTAGTGACGGCTACGCAGGGTGCTGCAGGCGAGGGGCTGGGCCCACTCCAGACCCAGCATGTCTCCCAGGCTTCAGCCTGCAACAGGAGGGGCCACAGGAGCCAGTTACAACACCGGCCTGGAGGGATTCCAGCAGACCAATGACACACCTGAACGGACATTCATTACCTAATTAGGGCACAGACAGCCCCTTTGCCAGCCCACGTGTCTAGAGGGGTATAAAACTCCCCCATACATATCTCAGCCGCCCTTTTCTCTTTCTTTCTCTGCCCTCTGCACTGTGCGAAGGAGAGCCAGAAGCGGATTTTCCAATAAAGTTTCCGTTACAACTTTGGACAACTTGCTGATATTCCACCAGTGGGCGGTCTTTGGCCATCATCTAACACTTAGGGGTGTTTATTTTGCTTACTGGAGACTTAGAGCATTTGAAAAGAGTCAGATTTCCAACAGATTTCCAAGGGTTTGTATCAAGAAAGAAATGTAAAAGATCTCATTAATACTTTTTATGAGGTCTGCATGTTGAAATAATAATTTGCCTAGCCAAGTTCAAATAAAAGAGTAAAATTAATTTGACCTTTTTTTTTTCCTTCTTTAAAAAATTGCCTCAAGACAAATTGTACATGGGCGGCAGGCATTTAACGTAGTTGTTAAGACGCCCACAGCGTGGATCCCAGGGCCTGGGTTCAAGTCCTGCCTGCACTCATGTCTCCAACTACCTGCCAGTACAGACAGTGGGAGGTGGCAGCTGGTGGCCTTGCCACCCATGCGGATGATCTGGATTGAGCCCCTGGCAACCCAGGCCAGCCATAGCTGATGGAGCCATTTGAGGAAGAAGGATCCATCTGAGAGGGTGTGGTCTCGCATCACCTCTCACTCGTAACGAAATCAATAAAAAATTAAAAAATAAAATTGCATAAGTGGCTTATACTGCTATGTAGCACCTTGATTCTCTATAATCTCAGGAATGGCTTGCCAACATCTTCCTGGCACACTTCTAACGTCTCCCTCAATTGCCAAGAAGCCCCCAAGGACTGTTTGAAAATTCTGCATTTGAACAGGTTGACACCATGAGTAAGGAAGATGTCTCAGTGACTGATGGTGCACATCGGGGCAGAAAGCTGTGACATAGCGCTGTCACTTGCAAACCTTGTGGCTACCGTCTGTTGAACCCTGCCATGCCACAGCTGCACTTTGTTCCTGATCTCCACAAGCTCAGTATTCAGCAAACACCACCTCCACCGTGGGGCAGAGGCAGCTCTGGCTTTGACGGAAGGCCAGAGCCGGAGTGGGCACAACTGAATTCTGCTGACCATTTCTGTGTAACACCCACCACCAGGCTCCTCACATGGAGACTCCTCTGTGCCTTCCACGCTGTTTCTTCCAGGTATAGCCTCCTCTCATGTCCCCACTCACAGCTGCTCTGCTTGCCACGCACCGCACGCCTGTCTTCTTGTGAACTACTTTTCTCTCATCTCTAGCTGTCCTCCAGATCCCACACTCATTCATCAACCGCTTTCTTCTTTCACACGTCTCCCCTCTCTCGCGCGGCACCAATCTTCTCCCCACCGTTCTCAGAAGCACCTGACAGGCTCCTCGGTCTCTTATCTGAACATCTTTTTTCATTCCACATCCTCCTTTTGATTCCACCTCCAGCCACTTCCTTAACACATCCTGAAAGAGTTTTAATGCTTTCTGTATTTGGCTCTTGGCCTCCTGTTTCTCTACATCTCACTCCAAACAGTCAATAGTACCCAAGAGTCTACCCTCGTCAAACTCCCCAGCTCCCTGGCACCAGGGCCTCACCTGGATACTCCACCAGCTGTGGTCCTCACTCTGCGTAGCTCTGAGTTCTGGTTTCCTAGGGAGAGTGGCTGGGGTTCTAATAGTCTCAGGAGAGACGACCCATCAAAGGAGGGGAGGGAGAGAGGAACTGAAACTGTTGAGCAACAGGAAATAAGAAATTAGGGTTCCTGGTGACTCACAGTGCCCCCAGTAATGCACAATATGGTGCCTACCTTCACAGCACTGGAAGCGTGGGTTGGACCTGATTTTCCTCACCCTGAGGCTTCTCTGGGTTACAGAGGTTTGGCCCTGTCAAGCTCAAAGTCCAAAGAATGTCTGGTCTGAGCCCAGGCTCCTTCTCTTTCCAAGAATCAAGATAAAGCAAGGAGCAGGCACTGAGACGGAGTCAGTGAGCATTGAAAGACGGAGGAGGAAGAAAGAAGCAGGAACCAGAAAGACACAGTCAGATAAGACCACCAGAGAAGGTGGGACATTCGGACGGACAAAGTCTGTTCCACCCAGCCATCCCCGTTGTCCTCTGCTTGCATTTGTAGCTTTCTGGCTCAAAGAAACGGCATTCTCTTTGCAATCAGGTATTACCCAAGGGGATCGGAGTATTTGAACAAAAACAGGAGGATTGATACTGTCCCAGAAGTAAGAACAATAATTCTAAAAGCAATATTCCTGTAGTTTCAGTTAGGGCACTTTCAATAAGTAATTTTAACGTATAACAGCAGAGGAAACCAAAGCCAATACTTATGGTTTACTTTACAAGAATTTTGGAGGGGACCCAGCACGATAGCTTAGTGGCTAAATCTTCACTTTGACTGTACTGGGATTCCATATGGGCACCAATTCATGCCCTGGCTATTCCACTTCCCATTCAGCTCCCTGCTTGTGACCTGGGAAAGCAATAGAGGATGGGCCAGGACCTTGGGACCCTGCACCCACATGGAGACTCAGAAAAAACTCCTGGCTCCTGGCTTCGGATCAGCTCAACACCAGCTGTTGCAGCCACTTGGGGAGTGAACCAGGGGACGGAAGATCTTTCTCTCTGTTTCTCCTTCTCTCTGTATATCTGCCTTTCCAATAAATAAGAATAATTTTGGAGGCAAACAGTACAGATGACCTGAACGCCCTGAGACTAGAAGTATCTCAGATTGTGGGTTTTATCAGATCATGGGCTATTTGTATATATGTAATGGCCTTGGGGACAGGATCACTCTTTCCACATACCTGACAGCTATGCCCTGAGCAAAATCTCAGGCAATATCTTCATGATATGGAATTTTCCACTTGTGGCTTTCAAAGATCTTCATATTTTGGAGGATTTTGGATTCCAGAGTTTGGGGTTATAGGCACTCAATCTCAGCTAGATGGGTTTCTAGACAAATAAGATCATTGAGACCTCTGCTTATCTTGATTCTTCCATTTTATCATCCACAATATGGTGCTTTTCTTGCTGGGAATTCCCACCTGCTGGTCACAAAAGAGCTGCCATAGCTGTTGACTCCACAAGAAAGCACCTCAAGCCAGGAGGACAGCAATGGAACGGGAAGTTACTGGGTATTTTGGATCATAAATGGGGCACTTTCCACTATGGACTTAGAGGAGTTTATTTGGAGTCCTGCATATAAGCTATATTTCCAACGTTACTCAACATGAAAAGGGCAACGAGTGTGAAGGCATCTGAGAGTGGCAAGAAAACTGAAACTGAGTGTGGGGATGAAAATGAAGAGTGCGGCCACCATTGCACACCAAGAAAACAAGGACGGGGGATGGGGGACACCCATGGCGAGGACGCATCTGAAAAAACTTTAACTCTTTGGTCTAGCTTTTCCGCGTGAAACTGGACCCCTTGGCATGCCCCCTCACGTCTCCCATTATCGTCTTTTACTGAAACCCAAGGAGGTTTGGTCCTCCCTGCCGAATGGCCCTAACTCAGCAGGTTGCCCAAGTGGACAGAGGCAATTGTGTGTAGCCCCGAGTGACGAAGGTGGAGAAGAGGAAGGCCTCAGCACTCACATTCCTGGTGTGACCATATTGCTTAATCTGGGTAAGGCCAAGGGGGAAGTGGCACGGGACTGGCCTGGACCGGGGGAATCCCTGACCATGGCCGTGCAGCAACTATTTCTGACACCTGCAGCAGCAGAAGTATCTGACCCAAGAAGCCCAGCCTGGGCTGGAGCCTCAGGTCCATTATCGTTTGCTTGGAGATGGGCAAGTCATTTCGCCTAAGGGTCAGAGAGCCTTTTTGTAAAGGGCTAGAAGGGCAATATTCCACAAGGTACAGGCCACTCATAGGGTCTCAGGCACAGCTCTGCAGCTCTGCTGGGAGAGCCCCACCAGGGCCTTGGATGGCAGGTAAACGGTGAGCATGACTACAGGCCAATAAAACTTGATTGAAAGAAAGGAGTAGGACCTGGCCTCAACAGGCTAATCCTCCACCATTAAGCACTGGCATCCGTATGGGCACTGGTTCATGTCCTGGCAGTTGCACTGCCAATCCAGCTCCCTGATCATGTGCCTGGAAAAGCAATGGAGGATGGTTCAAGTTCTCGAGCACTCATGTGGGAAACTCAGAAAAAAGCTCCTGGCTTTGGATTGAGCCGTCTCTGGCTGTTGCACCCATTTGGGGAATGGACCAACAGATGAAAGATCTCTTTCTCTCCTTCTCTCTCTATAAATCTTTCAGATAAAAGTAAGTAAATATATATATTTTTAAAATATAGTAAAACCATTCTTGCCTTGTGACAAAAACAAGCAGTGAGCTGAACTTGAGCTCCAGTTAACTATACCCAGTCTCAGTTGCTTGAGCTATGAATTGGGAATAAAAATATCTGCAGGCCTTGTTTTTTTTTTTTTTAAAGAACATAGCATAGGTTCCTGTGTAATAAGTGAGAGAGACCAGGGAGTAGGACAATGGTAGGTTAGCCGGAATGCAGGGTATGGTTGTCTTTGGTTCTAGGTAAGCCCAGGACTTGAGCCTCTGTGTGACTTTTTATCTTAGCATCAGTTGTGCGGGTGGCACAGTGGTCTAGTCGGCTGCAGCTGGCACAGGTAGGAGCGTGGTTTTGAGATGGATTTGGGCGTCTTTGTCCCAGAGAGCTTCGTGTCAGCCTCCCTGGTATCTGTGCTGAGGGTGACAAAGGTGGATGTCCCCTTGTGAGGGATACCAGGGCTTGGCACATTTACCGGTCACTTTTCCAGGGCTGGGTGGTATGGGTGGACCCTTTCTCAGAACCTGCTGGCAGAGTCCAGCTGATGCTGTTTCTTGGAACACCAACAGTCCTTGTCCTGGGACTAGAGGACGCCTCACACATGATTTTTGGCGTTCCCTCATATAACCTACATTCTAGTCATCAGAAGGCAACATTTTGTCTCCGAGCTTATCTGTCTGGGTGAACTTGACAGTGGCTAATATTCAAACCTGTCTCAACTAATGGTCTTCTGATCTCCATCTCCAGGTCAGCTCTTGCTCTTGAAGTTCAGACACGTCATTCTGGGTTCACTTGCTCATTCATTCATCTCCATCTCACCATCTTCCCTCATCAACCTGCTGTGGTGGACTGACTAGATGGTAATCCCGAACTCAGCCCAGCACCTCAGCAAACATTTAAAGAGGCGACGAAATTAAAATGAGGTGACCCAGGGAGTTAAGCTGCCACCCATGATGCTGGCACCAGGCGCAGCTGTCCTCCCCGTTCATCTGCTTGCTAATGTGTGTGAGAGAGCAGCAGATAGTGGCCCTGCGGGAGACCAGGTCGAGTTCTTGACTCCTGGTTCCAGACCAGCACAGACCTGGCTGTCGCAGCCATCTGGGGTAGTGAAACAGCAAGTGGAAGCTCTGATTCTCCATTTCTTCTCTATCATTCTATCTTTTCAATAAATTTTTTTTTAAATTTTATTTTGATTTTTTGAATTATGTGGTACAGTTTTGTACAGACTGGGATTTCCCCCCAAACTCCCACCCCTCGACAGGTTTTCCCCACTTTACTACAGTGGCATAGTCTTTCATAAGGAGTCATAATTCCATCAGTCTCTTTTTTAAGTGTACCCCAACCTTGCTGGTACATCACCTACACATGTACAACAGTTTCACTGGGAATCCGTCTTTCGTCTGGAAGCAGAGATGCCTGTTGAATTATACCCCATCTGGATATGGCAGACCCCAGCACTCCATCATTATACATTTTCATAATTGAGAAGCCATGAGACAATGTAAACAACCGGTATGAGTTAGAACAACAGCCTCAGCAACAACAACGACTTCAAGAAATGTTTAAAATGGAGTGATGGGTGTGGGTTTGATCCAATATCATGTCCTTATTAGAATAGGATACTAGGTCAAAGTACTGTACGACTATTTCATGGCACTGAAAATCTTTGAAAAGCAGGGGAAGGACATGAAAGGAGGAAGACCATGTGGGGACATGTTGAGAGAAGATAGTCACCTTTAGGTGACCACAGACAGAGACCTAAGAAGGAGTCAACACTGTTGACACCCTGACCTTGAACTTCCAAACTGCAGAACTGTGGGCAAACACGTTTTCTATCATACGATCCGTTCAGTCTGTGGCGTTGTATTCTGAAATCTCTCTCTCTCTGCTTCTCTCCTGGGCTCCCTTCTCATGGATGACCAGTTAGCCTGCCCAGTTACCCTGGTGATGTGGTTATAATGAAAAGGGGCACAAATTCCTCAATATTCTTCCCATGCAGAGGTATGGTCTAGTCGCTCTCCCTTTAAATCTAAATGGGGTAGGAACTGAATCAAATTGTAGGATACCCAGGTGGTTACTTGTAGAGAATTGAAAAATTGCTTGGTGTGGGCAGAGAAAAGTTAGTGTTTGGTGCCAGAAGTGTTGCGTGTCTTCCATGGCCTGCCTCTATTTCTTACACCAGTCACTGTTTTTTTTTTTTCCTGGATCTCTGAAGAAGAAAGCGTGGAGGACCACATGAGCCTTAACTTTCCAAGGACAGAACCCCTGGCACCCCCAGAAGCTTGTGAGGTGAGGGGCATTCAGGGACGTCCTAAGAGGAGCCTGCTCCCAGTGTATTCTTGGGGCCTCTCGGATATTGCAAGAACTCCCAAGC